GACCAGTGCAAATCATTCATCAATCATATCAGGTGTTAGTGGGGGTTTTGAATCACGAGCACTCAATATATTTGGCATCTTTTATCAACTTTCATTGACGGATGATTGACGCAGCACTATTCATGATATGCATTTTTGTCAAATTTACAATAGTTCGAAAGCCAATTTGATAATAAGTGAACTCAAAGGACTGTTTGATTTCAAAAAAAGTTTTCGGAATGTCTTGCCAAAAAGTAATTGAACAATGTTTTTTTTTTTTTTTTTATTTGCTTAGTGGCTCTCATGAATTCTGTCTCCACTCTACTAATCATATATAGTTGCACGCTTCATCCAACAATTTCCTTTTCCTTATAATTGTAGGTTATAAAATATAGAAAGATATTTTTCAAGTTGACCAACAAGAAAAATATTTTTAAAATATTTATAAAAATTATTTAAATATTTTAATAAATTATTTACTTATGTTAATTAATTCATAATATATATTTAAGTATCCTGACAAATATTCTTGTATTTTTGTATAAATCAACCTATAAATCTATAACCCCTTATAAAACATGAGATACTTCTTTTTTTTCTTTTGTCAAAATGTTTCATTGTTGGTTTCATTATTCATCATGATTTAATAATGCAGATTTACCTTTTAACCACATGCACATTAAGACAGATATCTTTCAATTTTAGTTTTAAATACAAAAAAAATAAAACAAAACCACTGGCGGAAGACAAAGAAAAACAAGGTAGTTTTAATAAGTGTAGATGCATGAAAGACTCACGGCGGAAAATGGTAGCTTGCCGTCGTATGAATAATGAAATGAAAAGAAGTCAAACAATTCAATGCATTCAGTCATTTTCTATTTAACAAGTTATAAAAAAGAAAAAAAATAGAAGTTGAATCAACATTTTTGATGTACTATTATTTTGTCTTTATTTATTAATGCATGGATGTAAACTACTCCTAACACCATTGCCTATTTTCAACAAAAACTACTCCTAACACTTGTAATAAGGACAGAAAAAAAGGGGAAAGATCTAGCTTTCATTAGTAACAATAATTATAATAAATAGAATAAAATAAAAGGAAGAAAAGAATAAGAAAAAAAAAAGAGCTAAAATCTTCTCTTAACAAATTATATCATTTTGTATACCGCTCTCTCATGAATCATTCCCCCATTCTTCTAAGTCGATAAATCCAGTAATTTCGGTATGCACATGTCACAGTTTATGGGATATATAGTAATGCGAAAGCTTTTATGTTTTTGTAGTTTTTTATAATTTAAATTATAAAATAAAAATTATTAAATGACTTTTAGTATTAAAAATTTATTTTCATACAACATGTAAAATAATACAATTTAAAGTATATAATATTTTTGAGTAAAAATTTAGTTATATATAAATTTTATGTAGTATAATTGTATAAAATTTTAATTATT